CGGCGTAGACTGCAGGAATTTGGCCCAAAATCTAGAATTCCACGAAAAAAGCCACTTTTATATCTCAGACAAAAGTTGAAAAGACTAAACTGGGCTAAAACCCATGTTACTTGGACAGAGGATATATGATATTATGGTACTACTCCAAAAAAAAAGTGTTGCTATTAGCCATCAAACCTCAAAAAAGAGAGACCGGAAGTACCTCAGCGAGACAGACAGAAAAAAACGTGGGCTCTGAAGAGGCTCACGTAAATTTTGGCTGAGAAACTGATGCCAAGGATCTTTGGATCAGAACTTTCCTGGAGGGAAAGTGAAGAAGGAACTGCATCTCATTAGACCCAGAGGAACATAACAAGTTCCTTGTAGGTCAGAGATTAGCTCTCTGAATCGGCGTTGGGAGACATTTGTAAAATGGTTGCTACAAAGCTGAAGCTTCTGGACTAAGCATTTGAGCAGGAGCGGTGATTGGAAGGAGTGATGAGACCTGGTGAGAAGATTTAAATAACCAGCTGACAGAAATCAGAATTTGGAAAGGCAAAGAATCTTGTGAGTAGAAAATAACATTAATGGATAGATTGGGATTTTGGCGGAAAAAAAAGAAGGAAAAAAAATTGTGGCTTAAATCATTAAGCCCAAAGAGAACTGCTTGCTTTAAACAACTTGGAGACAGAAATGAAAATTGACTAACCCATTGAAATACAATCTTTGAATTTGGATCTGAAAATATTGTGTCTTTAAAAAAGATTAACTGACAATTGGGAACCACAAAGGAAAAGGAGGGGAGAACAGAAGCTAAAAATACCAAGAAGACTTGCTTTGTTTGAGCTTGTTCTAATTTACATATCTTAAGCAACCCTAATCAATGAGAGGTGGAAAGTAACAAGAAAAAAAATCAAGAAAAAGCGTTATTTTTTCAGTTTATAATTCTATCTTTCCTGGATTTAAAAATATCAAGTTGTATTGCTGAAAATCATCGAGTTGAAAGAATACGGAGCCATTTGCCAGAGGGAAGAACAAGGAAAACGAAGTGTTTAAGGAGGGTTTGAATTTGTGGCTGTGGTGGAAAAGAATAATGTCTCCCCCTTCTCTTTCTCTCCACTTCAGCTGAACTGGAACATACAGGTGAAACTCGAAAAATTAGAATATCATGCAAAAGTTCATTNGGTCCAGTTCACGGCTAAGTTCTGGAGGGAGTTCCTGCGGTCCATTGGATCATCTCAGGGTCTTAGTTCAGCTTTTCATCCGAGCACCAATGGGGCAGCAGAGAGACTGAACGCCATGATAGAGCAGTACCTGAGATGCTATGTGAACTATCAGCAGTCCAATTGGGCAGATCTTTTATCTTTTGCTGAGGGCGCGTACAATAATGCTGTTCACAGTAGTACAGGACTCACACTGTTCAAAATAGTGAGCGGTATGGACTTCGTCCCAATGCCTGAGTATCCAAGGGATCCCCCCTCCTCAGTCAGCTTGAGTGATTGGATGTCGATGCTAAAAGCAACCTGGGAAAATGTCAAAATGGCACTGGCTAAAGCGGCACAAACCTATAAGAAACAAGCAGATAAACACCGGGCTCCGCAACGGCCATTCCAGGTGGGAGAGAAGGTTTACCTCTCCACAAAATATTTGAGATTAAAACTGCCTAGCAAAAAACTGGGGCCAAAGTTTATGGGACCATTCCCCATAGTAAAAGATCATCAACCCAGTCACAGTGCAATTGAAACTACCTCAATTGTTGGGGAAGATACACCCAGCGTTTCATAGTAGCCTCTTGAAACCTGTGATTGGATCCACTCTGAGACCACTAACCCGGGAGACCCCGGGCCCTATGGTCATAGGGGGCCAAACCCATTATGAAGTTCAACGAATCCTCAATTCGAGGTGGCACAGGAGACAACTCCAATACTTAATCAAGTGGAAGGGCTACCCGTTATCAGAGGCATCTTGGGAAAAAAGTAGGAATATCCAGGCTGATGTGTGGTGTAACTCCAATTGTCATCTGAGCTGCGCCTTTCACACCACTGGGCAAAATGGGGTCCAGAAGAGGTGAGCTGGGGAGCATGGGGTGGTAAGTCTCTGTGGTCCTGAGCCGCTGGCAAGCCCAGACACCAATCTCCTACATGGGCTTGGCCCACATCAGCCTCTAGAGGTTCTGCTGTAGACTTCCATGCCACCAAGTGGTCCTTAGACCTTACATCCAATGGTGCCTCTCCTGCTGGCCCTGACACAGCTTCTAGCACAGTTGTATCAGCTACCACAGCAGCCTCCTCCAAGTCCGCAGCCTCCAACCCAAACGTTGTACCTTAAGCCATGGTGTGAGCTCTGGTGTCAGCTGACAAATCTGTAGGGTTCCAAAGGGTTAAGGAAAACAGCCAAACACAGAAACAGTTTGCAAATGCAGTTTGTATTCTTCCTCCGGCACGAACTGACCAACAAAGCACTAAGGCAATGAATAAATTGTCAGAGCTGCCACCTGGTGCTCCCCACCACCTTTTATAGTTACTTGGTAATTAGGATAAACTGCACCCCGCATGTGCACCCCCCCATCCCCTCGTGACCCAGAATGAAAACCACCCGGCAATTAATCATGGATTGTTTTCAGTCAGTTATCAAGAACATTGTAGGTGTCTCAGCTGGACTGCTTGTGGAGGAGGGAACTCTGGTGAGTCTTGGCAATGGCCTGGTTTTCTCCCCTGAATGGCAGCTCCAGGCCTCTGGGCTGGCCGGAGCTGACAGGGTCACCTGCTTGAGCAGGGGGGTGGGTTGGATTAGATGACCTATAAGGTCCCTTCCAACTCTGTTCATCTGTTAATCTGAAATGGCATCGAACAATGTCAGGAATCTGCAAATGCTGTAGACCGGGAGCAGCTGGGCATCCTCCTGTGAAAAGCTGGAGTTTATATTTAGTTCA